CACTTACCGCTTCTTCGGCGGTAAGTCAGACGGCTCCGCGGACGTCACACGCTGCTTCGGCTTCCTCGGCGGCTTTGCATCACGAATCAACTTCAGCATTTCTCCTCATCGATACCAACAAACTCGCCATCCATTTCGACACGTTTGAAGAAATCCACAATCTTTACTCGGACGCGGTCCATCATCAGTCAACAATGTGGTGAGACTCAGAGCCCACCGTCTTTTATACCGTGTGGGCGGGGCCAAGGGGCGGCACCGGGCTCTGGGTGGTCACCTTGGTTCTTTGGACCTTTGTACATAGAGATTTAAGCTCCGGCCAGCCAAAAGCGCCCAGATTTCTCTAACCCCTCTTCACTTTTTTTTCTCTCCTCACACAGTGAAATGAAGAGGGTTTAGAGAAATTTGGGCATTTTTGAGCGTTTTTAGGCGCATTATAGCGCTTTGAAGTTTAGCCAGTGCCTCACAACTCTACTGGAGACCTTTGAAGCGCTTTTGAGCGCTTTGGAGCGCTTTGTTGTTGTTGTTGTAGTATCGTTGTTGTACAGTTGTTTGTATTTGCAACAAAGAGCTTTGTGAATGTTTTTCTCTTTCTACGAGGCCTTGTGCTCCTCAGGCCCCGGCCAGACATCGCTCAAAAGCGCTCAAAAGCGCCCGAATTTTTCTAATCTTTCTTCACTTTCTCTTTTCTTTCCTCACACCATAAAATGAAGGTGGGTTAGAAAAATTTGGGCGCTTTTGAGCACTTTCAAGCGCTTTGGAGCGCTTTTGAGCCCTTTTGAGCTTGAGCGCTTTGTTGTTGTTGTATTGTGTTGTGCAGTTGTTTGTATTTGCAACGAAAAGCTTTGTGAAAGCTTACGAAACGGTAGGGCAACCATCGGCATCAGTCGAGGACATCTATTGGTTGCCTCAGTCGAGGACAACTATCGCATGCCTCTGTCGCGGAGCCGAAGTCGTATTTCCCCTTCCAAGGGAATACAACTTCGGCTTTTCTTTTTACCCCGAAGTGTATGTGGTGCCGGGCGAAGCCGATATTCCAGCTATAGTAATTAACATTGTATTCGTAATCAGCATGCTCGATTACTCTCCTGTGC